AAAGTGTGGTACAGATTCGCTTCTGTATACAGGGATATCGGCTCATATTATAACTACAGCAAAGGTTAAATGAGGAAGGTTTTAGAGGGAACTCAGTGCATTCGATAGCCGGCTTCAGATTTACGATCGGTCATTTGGTTCTGGAAATATCGGCGAAAAACAGAAAATGTCGAATTTTGTTTTTTGCCAGTAAATCCGAAACGGTTAGTTTGACATCTGTCAAAATGTGACATCATTCAGACATTTTTTAAGGCTAATAAGATAGTGTGTATGTCATGTCTCAATCCTCTTTTGCTTTCCCGCAACCTGCCTCAACTTTTATTTTTCTTATTTCCGCCATATTGGATTTTTCGACTTTTGGAAAGAGCGTGAAATTTCCAGCCTAGTGATGTCTCACAAGTGCATACAAGATTGGAGTACCATTGAAATATCATCAGACGTAATGTTATGTATTAATTTTTTTCTAAGGAAGCTATGATTTATTTGTCAGTAAATAAAATTAATAAGTAAGAGGTAGATACGTTTGCCGGTATACTATTCGTCATTATTCGTCAGAGCGTCCGGTGGACCTTTGCTCTTAGTTAAAAGTCTCGTCGGTCTGTTAGTCTGTCAGGTCTGGCTACCCTGATACCAAACATGTTAAGAAGAAAAGGCAGAGAAGGAAAGAAAGAAAGGAAGAAATAGAGCAAAGAAAAGAAGTAAATCATTTGAAATAGCTTAAGCATTATTGCTTTGACTACTTGAATTATTTTGTAACTAGAAAAACTAATTTTGATCTATTTTGTATACTGAAATAATTTTGACTGGTCTGAATTTACAATTTAATTTTGATCACAGTGCGAGGCGCGGCCTGGAATGTTTGCGAACTTGCTCGACCGTGCGGTCTACTGAATCACGCAACAGAGAGTTGCTGTGCGATTCCGCTTGATTATAACGCCGCTGCGCCTGTTGTTTTACGTAATCCCGTAGATATGGGATATCAAGATCTCTGTGAAAGGTCTCATTTGACACGTACCAAGGGGCGTTAGTAATTGCGCGTAGGGTTCTGTTTTGCAGGACTTGCAGTCTCTGCATGTGCGTCTTGGCACGAAAACACCAAGCCACGCATGCGTAGGTGATTGCGGGTCTTATGACCATCTTATACAACCAAATCTTGTTGGTCAAACTTAATTTTGAATTTCTGCACAACAAAGGATAAAGCTGCCGCAAGGTAATTTGGAATTTTGTTTTCAAAATATCAGTATTTTTCTGCCAGGTCAACCCCTTGTCAATGATGACTCCAAGATACCTGACAGATTGCTCCCATGGTATACGAGTTCCATTCACTGATATATCTGAGGGGGCGCCGCGACGTTTTTTAGTACAATAGAGTGCCTGCGTCTTCGAAGTATTAATTTTGATCAACCACCGATTCGCCCGCTCCAATACTTCCTCCACCGCACTCTACAGCCTGTCGTGAACCAGGTTACCAGAATAAGACCGGGCTAGCAATGCAGTGTCGTCAGACTAGAGATAGACTTCACAGTTACTGGGGCAAGGGACGTCATGTATATAAAGTGAATCAAGGATTGCTCCTAATACCGAACCCTGAGGAACACCGGCTCTTTCGGACCGTATTGTTGACAACATATTGTTAATTTTGATCCGAAACTTCCTTTCTTCTAGAAAATTGCCGGTGTTCCCTACTCCAATGAAGAAAAGTTTGACATGTTATTACTGTACTTGCAGTCACACAGAATTGCCATTACCTCAGCAAGGTACTTGGAGATATACTACGAACGACGGCAGCCTCATAAAACCCAATTTTGAAAAATAGTAGTTAATTTAATAAAGCACCTACGAACAATCTACAAGTGGATATAATATTGAAAATGAAAATCGCGACAGAAGCATATTACATGCAGTCAACGAAATCGTTAATGCATCAGTAAGAACTATAGAACGAGAAATTGGTGTGTCAAAATCAACAGCACAGAGAGTGTTAAATAAGAATAAATACCATCCATACAAACGTACAATAGTTCAAGGAAACTGATTTTCCAAGGCGAATGAATTGTGGAATTTTTAATCAGCACAACACTCATCACTGGGCTGTGGAAAACCCTCACGCAGTGGCAGAGAAACGTCTTCAGACCAGATTTGGAACTGACGGTTGGTGAGGGGTCATTGGTAATTTAATCTAACTTACCTTTTTTAATTGGGTACATATTTGAAATTAGGAATTAGTCATTTCAGGAAATCGACTTGTAGGACCATTTTTGTCTAATTACAACCTGAACGGACTGAGGTACCTAGAGCTTTTGCGAAACCAGGGTGTGCCGGCTTTACGAGCTAGTCTAACCAAAGATGAGTTTATAAGAACCTGATTGCAACATGATGGATATCCGGCTCACAACACCGTTCAAATCAGGAACTTCTCAAGACAGCAGTTTGATGAAAGAATAAATTCAATATCTTAGCCTCCTAGATCACCTGACGTTTGACCCTTAAATTTCTACCTATGGGGTCACACAAAGAATGAGGTCTATGAATTTGACCCTCCCCCCCATAGAAATCCTGAAATAAAGAATTTTGAGCACATCTAGAAACATTAACAGAAATACACTAGCTAGGGTTGTACGAAAAACAGTCACCAATTGGTCAAAAATGGACTAAGTTTTTTCTAGCACTTCCCCATTTAACCTTTGCTGTAGGTATAACAGGAGCTGAGATCCCTGTATAGAGAAACGAATCTGGAATACACTGTATAATATGAATACCCTAGTAACATGTGAAGCTCACCTTCCAGAAAAATCAAGAGCTCCACAAAGCTCGCGAAATATATCGGACGATCTAGAAATAGACAAAATTGACAGCTATCTGACAACTTACCTACCAATTTGATAATACTTAACAGAATTCAAACTGTGATCTAAGGCACTCTATACATGATGTTACAATATTCTGTATTCTTACTTAAGAATAGAATCTTAATTGATGACTGCGAATGTTTATCAAGGATCCACAGGGGTATAACGTATCTTGAAAGTGACAATATGTCGGTTCTTTTACAAGATGTCAACTTAGCTCTAGCTGTTGTACACTTGTTGTGTACTCGTTCCGTGGCTGCACTTGTTGCCTAATCGTCATGATGTTTCAGCTATCAATGTTAATAGGTGCTTATTGAGGATTTGTGTGTCAATAATCCGTGTTGACCATAATTCCATTGGTTTCTTGTCTCAAATACACTTACTTGAGATGTATGCAACGCTAAAAATTGGTTACGTACCGCTTTTTCTCACTCAACCTAGAAATTATATGTGCAAATTTGCCTAAGAAAAGAAAATCCCTGGTAGGTGAAGTATATTAAAACTAACATTTAAGAGATTATGGTACATACAGGAATATTTATGGAACGTAAAAAAGTTATTACATTTAAAACTAATTCTTATTTCATCATTAAATAAAAAAAAATTTACAATATCAAGTAGAAAATACAAATCACCGCTTAGATGTGGGTCATTTCAAAAATGTATGTCATTCCTAATTTGCTGTGCTGATTTCGGGTAATGCATCTAAAAGCTTATGAAAACGCAAAAAACGTTGAAAATCGTAATGTAAAACTTTGAACATAACCTCTCTTCAGAAAGGACAATACAAATAACCCGTCTGGCATAGTTAATAGATATATTTAATGGGCAACATATTCACTAATAATTTTCTCACATAGCAAATATCACTGATTTTATAAACATGACGACCAATACACACAATTATCCAGATGTGACCTTGCTACTGTTACTCAAACCACACATCTTCTCAGAGTATATGTACTCTACAAACTATCTCGGAATAAGAGACATAACCAAAACACGGCTTCCACAAAACAGCTGTGTGTTTTCTTAATGCGTGGTGTTCTTATTTGGTCAGATATGAAAGCGGTGTTGCCAGATAGATAAAACATTTTAGATGAATTCATTATTCATTCCTCTTAGTGAAAGCATTTTTGCTCAAATTTACTTTTGTTTGCACATATTTTCACTGGGAGAGATATTTATCATCCGTTTGCAGACTACGAAATATATTTTTCAAACAATAATGTTATAAATTACACTTTTTGCGAATGTTCTCTAATGTAAACAGAAACAATTCCCAAGACCCCAAAACACACAAAGCTATTTAACTTTTAGGACCTTACGCGGAAGATATCACGATTTAGTCTAGTAACAAAAGAGGAATCCTAGCTTCAAATTCAAATATTTTCTAACCTCAAATTGCTTATTTGGCCAATCATCGGTATATTTGATATTTACCTGTACACCCTGATCTTGACACATTCAGCTCAGTATAAATGTAACACTTTCTCAACATTTTATGTCAGTTTGGCAACACCATCTTTGTAGGTGACGTGTCAGGCAGAATGCTGAGTAATTGATGAGCGATCGCCGTTTTTCTTATAAGCCAGTAACAGTCCAAGAGCCGACTGCAACGTACTGGTTATGTTGAAAAGCAGCCAAATCTGTATCCGAAGGAAGTGTTGAGGAATAAGGCGCCTTGACGGGTATATTAGTCAATAAGGAGGACTTAGATCAAACAAGGCTGTCTTCTTCCTTGTCAAAGATATTTGACAACTCTCCGGCTACTTCCATATGTCACCACTGTCAAAGCACATAAGACGACCTCACAATAAAGAAGTCTAAAATGCAGGAGCGACTATGTATCCGGCCCTTGGGCTGCTCCATCATAAAAACAAAAACAATTGGTCTCTGGAAAACGTTTAGCATAACTAACCATTTTCCGATTGAAAAGTACTGTTAAACTGGCCACATTCTGTCCACTTAAATGGAAGCGCGTGTTACCGAGCCATTATCAGCGGGTAAACTAATTTAAAAAGCACACACAAATAAACCCCTTCGATTGTTGAACGCGGCATCGCTTGGTGTAGGGCGTTAAGGCCCGCGTACACAAGGACAGAAGTGAAATCCAATATCGGTAGTCATTGAGGCAAAGTCCGTAGCGGTATGATCGAGGTCAGGAAATATTTGAATTTCAAACCGACAATTTTGTTTCGATAGTACTCTAAGACTTCGTTACCTAGGCGACAACTTGTGGGTTTTAAGAATCACTTTCTATTTTCAACGAGTCATAAATTATACTTTTCGCGAGTGTTCTCCGCCGTACAAATTTTCTAAATCGTGGATCCAGCTGATTTTTAAAGTCGATGAAGTAGAATTATATCCGGAAAATGAGAATCCAGGCACAACTCTGAGGTGCCAGTTTTTCATGGATAAATAACCACGAAGGCCTAAGGTTTGAATACACTTAGGTAGATAAGGAAACCTACTCTTATCACAGCGGTCAAACATGCATGCGGAACTGATGCCGCCTTACAAGTTAAATCTAAATCTAAAATGAAAGGGAGTTGATCATTTGAGTATTTCAAAGTTTATGATTATTTAGCTGCATTCCTTTGAGTAGATCTGTAATATTTTGGATAGTAGTTCTAATATGTTGCTCTGAAAACAACACTGCCAAATTCAAGAAAATTATCTAAACTGCTTGGCATTAAGAAACGTTTCCATTTGGTGTATTTTTGTTTCCTGTGCAATATGCAGAACAAATCTGTTTTGATAGAAACGTACTTTAAAGCGTACCAGTACTGAATCCAACTACTTCCCTCGTGTATGAGCCGCTTTAGCTTCGGGCGTCGCCAGCGTCAGGTCGGTCGTCCACAGTATCCGCAACCAATTAAAGCCCTACTAATTATCTAGCGACAACACGCTACACGCTTCCGGCCAGCCCGACAACTATCGTTAAATCTTCCGTTTATTTAACTACACCCTGATACTTCGCCACGTTTTAATTACCCAATTTTCGTTATGAATTTGCTTCTTGAAGACGAACAGTAATCAACTACGTGGGTTGGATATTTCGTATAATACGGGATGCGATAATAATGATCACCGGCATGCTTAATAGTAAAACAATTTTCACGCAGTTGTTAGTAACTATTTTGAGGCTTAAGAGAATTTATGATTAAAAGAGTTTCACCACTCTCCAACCCAGTGCTTAATTCCCGACACTTCTTTCGCTAACCATGTTAAAATCTTCAGGAGAAGATTAATACTCAAATCCGTCCGGTCACAACAGTGATCTTCTTCAGTACATTAGACTTTTGACAATATTTTATTTATGTCTTCCAGGTGACACTTCGTTTGATTTTTCTTTTCATTCCTATACAATGTGTTAGTACATACATGTCTGAAAGGTTCGTAACATGTCGAGATTGCACGAAGCCATCTTGCCAGGTTTTAAGATGGCACCACGCGAAACCAGCATAGACCACGACCTTCTGAGCAAAGCATTCCCGCTCCCAAAAAAAGTCTAGCCCCTTGAAACGACAAGCGAGTATGAGGTTATTTGTTGATTTTTTAATGGACTATCATCGTTCAGAAAATGCTTTAAACCCTTAAAAAAAAAACAAAAAAAGAAACGGGAAAACCCACCCAAAACTGTGTGTCATAACATACCGGTTAATGGCTCCCTTTTAAGTTTTGAAGTGACATTTCTCGCTTTTCGGATCCTTAAATGATGCAGTGGCAACATTTTAGTCGAAGGTGCATCACAATTAACCAGCGTGTTACGACAACAGTTGTTGCTGAGCTTTTAGCGTTTTTTTGAGAGCTATTGGCGGTTTCAGAACGACGGACGAGGGTGATGTATCTCGAATTCGCGGAATTATGGACCTTTCAGACAATTGTATTAGGAATCTGAAAATGAAAAGAAAAAACAAACGAAATGTCATTTGGAAGACAGATGAATGAAATATTGCCAAAAGAGTCATGTACTGGAGAACGTCATCGTTGTATATTACATTAAAGAAGAATGTCAAACATATGTGGTTTCATTGGCCACATAGACATAGAAGATCACCAAATCTTCCATCCTTCTGCAACTGGACCATACAGAAGGTTGTTGGGAATAGAACCGTTGTCATCGTTCATTACATTCTCTAGCCTATTAGCTATTTCTAAGCTTGCATATGCGTCCAGTTTCTGAAGGCATCTAACATTACGGAAGGCACGGACAAAGGTTAGTTGTTAATAACTAAAATGAGAGTCCTTTTATATTCAATTATATTATAAAAATGACGTCAAGTGAGTTGACCCCACACTTCCTAAGCAACGCTGTCACCAATCCATTATATTTGGCACAAGTTAGCCCCCATAGAAAAACATAGATGACGAACCGCCCGACTAACAGTACCGACCATCCAGCAACGTCGCAATTCAGTACCTGGTTATATTGTACACGAAAACATACGCAAGATGGGTCATCCAAAGCAGAGCGGCACACGTACATCGGAGATAATTCTCAACTTTTACGGGCAAATGTACGGGGAAATTTTCGATTTATAAAATATGTCTAATAGGTGTGTAGAATCATCTGGGTTGGAAATGTATGAATTGTTAGCACCAAAAAATTGCCATATACTTTCTCTACTCCGGCGTCATCAAAATTTTAGCCCCAGCAAAAAGTTTTTTTGAAAACGTCAAAAAGCGAGGTTGGAGCCATATTTATTTTTTCCATGATATATATTATAAAACCTAATTAGGTGGCGTCAGGCACAATGTAAAAGTCCCCTCTCAGGTATATTCCCAAACGCAAAGATAATTACCCATTTTACGAGGGATGTCTTTTAAGTTTTGCATATAGAAACATAGTAGGCCGCGCAGATCGAACGTCAGTACTGAATCTTAACCTCACTCTTTAGTAAACTTAAATTCAAAGTTTCACAACAATACGTGCAGTGTTCTCACTACAGTGAATTTTTAAGTGTCACCAAGTCAATAGAAAAATGGAACTCAACCGAGAACATTTTCGCGCCATAATTTATTACAACTTTCAGAGACAATAATCGCAACAAAAATGCCTTGCTGAGTTACTGTCTGTTTTCGGCAACGAAGCGCCACATCAGTCGACGATTTCCCGTTGGTATAAAGAATTCAAACGTGGACGGGTGAGGGTGGGTGCACCAAAAACGGCAGTCACCCAGGAAAACGTCGATGCTGTGCGCAAACTCATCATTGAAGATAGACATGTGACATATCGCGAGAGGCGTCCTTGAAGATCTCAAAGACCTCAATTCAAAAAAATTTACATGAAGAATTAGGAGTAAGAAAATTAGTTTCTCGTTGGATACCCCACCTATTGACTGAAGAGCAGAAAACAGCCAGGGTTAATTGGTGTCAATAAACGCTTGACCGTTTCAATTCCGGAAACTCAATAAAAGTGTTAGTGCTGATGAATCGTGGATTTACTGTTATGAACCAGAAAATAAACGACAGTCGGCTGTTTGGATGTTCCAAGGTGAAGAAAAGCCAACAAAAGTCATCCGTTCTCGAAGTGTTTCGAAAAAGATGGTCGCGACATTTGTGTCAAAAGCAGGTCATATTGCAACAATTCCTCTTAATGAGCAAAGGACTGTTACTGCGGATGGGTATACCAGCATTTGTTTGACAAAAGTCGTCACCGAGCTTCGAAAAATCAACCGCGAAAGAAGAATCATCCTCCACCAAGACAGTGCAAGCTCGCACACAGCCCAAAAAACAAGGCAGTATTTAACGAAAGAAAACGTAGAATTATTGGACCATCCTCCATATAGTCCCGATCTAAGTCCTAACGATTTCTTTACTCTCTCGAAAATTAAAAACAGACTGCGTGGTCAAAGGTTCCAGTCACCAGAAGAAGCAGTTGACGCATTCAAAAATGCCGTTTTGGATCTGCCAGCAGACGAGTGGAATAAGTGCTTCGAAAATTGGTTCGAGCGCATGCAGATGTGTACCAATCTTCGTGGAGAATACTTCGAAAAACAAGTTATTTAAAACTACCTACCTTGTTGTTTTATTTCCATATGCAAAACTTAAAAGACAACCTTCGTAGCTTCCTACTATGTGATGGCCTTGGGAATCAGGAAGAGCACATGTGCACGGCTCGTGAAAGCACAAAGAAAACCGGGATCTAGATGCCCAATGCCCATTCACTCTCTTACATGGAAGCTGTTACGTCAAGCCGTTTGAATCGACCAATCAGAGTCGAGCTGTCCGTTCTCTATTTATTGCTAGAAAATTCCAGTCGAACCAGGGAATTTTTAAATAATATTGCCATTGTACGAACTAGGTTTTAAATTGGTTATACTCATTTTATGTTCCTTACTGCTATACTAGATCTATCGATTCTACCATGTCTTAAATCATTCAAGTGTTCTGTGAACCTAGTCTATAGTGTCACCTACCGGATAAACTTTTTTGGAAAACAGGAAACTCGTGCTATCTGGCTCAGAGAGTATAAACGTTGTGGACGCCATCTATGAAAGAATAACGCAACGTAAAACAATTCGTATCTACCCGCACTCTTAAGAAACCGCAACATTCCATAAAAATTGTCAAAATCGGTCAATTTTTATAAACTCAATGTTCCATATTTTGTTACATATTCAGATAGGCCATTTCAAAAGAAGGGCATTGATATACTATCTTCAGCGTTTAGGTGATTAGTTGTTGAGTTACAACCAATTCAACTTACAAAAACTTTCAAATCTGACAGCCTGCCAGATCGCCATAAGCTAGTAACGTTATATTCTAGAGTCATAAATTACTCATAAGGAACTTTAAAATAAGGTACACCACAAGTGCTCATTCTATTTAAAAAAATGTGACAAGATTCCGCACAGTCGCCATTTTGAAATTTTCAAATTTAATTCTTGCGTTAAAATATCGTATTTTTGACATACATTGTTCATCGCACGATTTTTTGACAGATGATACATTCTCTATTACAATCTCAGCTATGACTCCAGCTTAATTGCAATATACCCTTTTCTGCTTGATATTTGTTATTTATCGTCAATATTGATTGCTTTGAGCGATATCTGTCAGAGAATATAGCAATCGTTATATATTTTGGATACAAATACATATTAAAACTTCTTGGAAGCATGTAACGAAGTTTTCCCATCAAAGCGTGGCATTTGGTAGTAGCAGATTTTCAATTAAAAGTTTAAAATGGACGTTTGCATCAGCCGGAAGTCGATCTAATGATTTCCCGTTAATTGGCGGTGACCTGACGCACATAAAAACTTTTCAATAACGATGCGAAACTTCCAAATTGCTTATAAACTTCCAGAACGGGTGATGAAATAAGTATGAGAGTTCAGTTTTTTACAACGTCGTTTTCTTACTTTATTAACTAGGGGTCTTATAAAATACATCGTACTCCGTGCTGCCTTAGATTGAGTTTCGCTCACGACGATGGCATTAGGAAGTATAATATGTATTTGATGAGCGAGCTTTAGAGCTTTCATCAGCATCAAAAGTTTCGTTAAAGACAATGTGCATATAAACTATCATCTTTACTGACAATGTAGCTATAGCTTAGTCAAACCGCAGACGAAATGATGGATATAGTGACAGCATACTGGGTCTGTCTGTGCCTCCAATTCACAATGGACCAATTGAATCCTGCCAGCAGTTATCTATACCAGTAATGATTTTTACACCTTGAACACTGAAATTGAAAACGATTTTACAACAGTGATACATTTTTTTTGAGAAAAAACTATGACTGCATAGTTTATAGCATCTCTGGTGATGAAATACTGTCTCCCAATTGCAGAAAACTCAAATTCCGAATAAAATATGATCATCAAGAAATCCAGTTATTTGACAAAATTAAATACTTAGGTGTGATACTGGACAAAAATTCAATGTTGAATGCACACACAGAGGTCTTAGCGAAAAGTCCAAGATGTCTTACCCCAAAATTCAAGTACTTTCGTGATTTTTTGAACAAAGGCTATCTATTTATTCTCTACCATGCTCTTGTCTACCCTATTTGATCATATGGTATATTAGCATGGAGAAGAACAATTACTATAAAGAGATTGAAACCGCAAAGAAGTGGATACTAAAACCGATCTTTCATAATCAGGTTACATGTCCAACCGATAATCTTTACTTATAAGCTCAACTCCCAGACGTTAGACAAATCTACTTTTACAGTGGTTTAAACAAAAAAAAAAATCCATCGGTTAAAGAAGTCATCTCTTTCTAGACCGATCCGACATTAATAAAGGTTATTAAAACATCAAAAAGGTTTAAGAAATAAGTCATCGATTATATAGAAACCAAGGAACTCGACCCATCAACTTATAGACACTAAAAATCATTATTGAACTCAAAGAAATGTATGTATATTATGTGTGTATTCATGTTTGAAGTGCATTTAAGGAGAAATATTCCAAGCCAAATCAGTTTAATATTAGACGAACCTTACACCTAGAAAAATATAAAATATCAAAACTTAACCTCATTGTAATACCTCCAGTATTTGACGTTGTGCACTTACCGATTTGTGTTTTTTTTCCCATCCTGGAAAGTGAGATATGCTATATTCCTAAAATAACGGACCATGCAATGCTACGGGTTAATATTTCCACAGCTGAGCTTACCAGTCAAGCAGAATATTACAGATAAATGAAACACTTTAACGATCTTGAATTTCAATTAATGCTAATAGAATCTCCATGGCCATACAACCTTATCAGTACTCATGAAATAGCAAACAATTTAGTAAAAATATATAGTTACAGAAAAGCTAGAGTATTGTGCACCAATAGTTGAAAGAAAGATATCTGTCAAATGGGGTGAGTGTGAGTGCTATGATAACACAACAGGAAGAACATTGGGTGATCTTTCGACAACAAAGAAATAAAATTGTTCAATTAATAAGACAACGAAAACAAGTATATTACCAACAAAAAATAGATGATGGCAAAGGAGATTGAAACGCTATGTGGAAAAGTTTGAAGGATATCATAGGCAATGGATTGGGAAGTAGAAATATGGAAGGTATTGATTTCGATGGAACTATTTACAAAGAAAGTGAGACAATAGCAGAGAGTTTTAATGACTTTTTTCTCAACAGCGTGAATAATTTGGCAATTGATATCGTTGTCATACATATAGAAAATACTTTGAATTATATACCAACTCCTAAAAATAGCTTTAGTACATTTAAAACAGTTCAAATGCAGTGACTAAGAAACACAGTTAACAATTTAAAAAATGAAAATATCAGTGCTGACGGAATTAATACCAAAATCTTCAAATTGGCTTTTGAAGTCATAGGCAACCGCTTTCTCCAGCTTATAAATTCCAGTATGGAAACAGGATGCTTTCCTTAAGGGTTGGAAAATATTAACAGTCATCCCTATTGAAAAAGAAGTGAGGGAAGCAATAAAACCTGAAGAGCATAGACCAGTTAATATGGTACATGTAACGAGTATATGAAAAACTACTAGAAACTGTTGTCAATCAACAATTACGTCAATACATAGAAGAAAATAAATTACTCACAAAATACCAAGCGAGTTTTAGGAAGGACCATTCATGTGAGAATGTGCTTTAGTCTGTTATTTTAGGATGGAAAAATGTTTTGAGTGTGGGTCATTTTGTGGGTGTTGTGTTTATTGACTTTAGGAGAGGATTCGAAACAATAAATAGAAAACTGTTGTTGAAAAATATGGCTTTGAAGGCATCGTTTTAAGATGGTTCTCAGGATACTTGGAACAAAGAACTCAGCGAAAAAAGTACAAAGACTCCTTGTCTTCTGTAAGAGAAAATAGACATGGTGTGCCTCAGGAAACAGTGTAGGGTCCTGATCCGTTTGTGCTGTATATAAATGATATTGTAAAAAATTGCTAAATTCATTTGTCTGCAGATGAGACAATTTTGTTCATGGAATGTGACAACATAGACAATTTGGTTAAAACGATTAATGAAGACTTAAAGACATTACGAGTATATGCCTGGTTAGGGAGCAATAGTCTTAGTATTAATGTTGACAAGACTAAGTGTATGATACTTAAATCTAAATTTAATGTTCAGGATACTTATCTGCACAACGGATTTACAATTGAAAATAATAAGATTAAACAGATTAACAAGTATAAATATTTAGGAGTTACGATAGGCTCAAATTTAACATTTAATTACCATGCGGATTATATTATAAAAAAAGTTTCTAAAAAAGTTAATTTAATGCGTAGGGTAACAAAGGACCTTAGTTCATGAACGTCACTACTTATATATTAAAACAATAGTCATGTCTCACTTTAACTACTGTTCCTCCATATTACATATGTTTCAGAAAGGTGATATAGATTCACTACAGAAAAAACAAAATCAGGCTCTCAGATCTATATTAAGATATTATAGGTACACAAGAATACAATACATGTTAGGATTAACTAATTTATTGAGTATCAAACAAAATATTTCACAATACAATCATAGTCATCTACAAAATAGAGAACGGAATGTATCCCGAATAAATATTGGAAGATTTGCAATTTGTCTGTGATATTCATAGTTATAATTGAAGGAATAGGTTTGATTTTTATGTTCCTGCTGTTGGGTATACTTTTGCGCAAAATAGTTAATTTCATAAAGGCCTTATAGATTTCAGTAATTTACCAGCTGGAATCAAGTCTACAAATTTTGTCAAATTCAAAAGACAATTTAGAATTTATGTAGAACATAGTGTTAGTGTTAGACAATAACATTATATATATATATATATATATATATATATATATATATATATATATTGTATTGTTTAGCTTGAAGCTATTAAATAAAAATTTATTCTCATGTGAACCCAAGCATAAGTTCAAACTTGGGTTGACATGAGGAAAATAACGTTTTCGTGCACGTTATTTTTATAAACATTATTATTATTATATTATTATTATTATTAAAAAATGCAATACTATGATGT